AAATCTTTTGATTTTAACCAAAAAGATACATCTTCTAATGACCAATTTAAAATGTTTTTATTTTTAATATCGATTAATGATTCATGCACACATTGTATCTCTTCTGATGATAAAGAAATATCTTTAGATAATTCAATCCCTTTCAAGATTGTCATATTATTATGTTATAATTTAATAATTATGTTTTTATATAAATAATTTAAATTTATTTTTTTATTTTATATAAATAGATTTTTGTTTTTCTAAATCCTTTTTTTTTTTTTTTTTTTTTTTTTTTTTTTTGGAAAAATAAAAAAAAAAAAAAATTTTTAAAAAAAAAAAGAAAACGTTAAAAAAAACTATATATAATTTTTTAAAAATTTTTTGGAAAAAAAAAAAACGTTAAAAAAAAATATATATAAATTTGATCTACAGTTTTTTTTTTATTTATTTTCATTTTTATTTTTGAAACAACAATTTTATTTTTTATGTTTTGAAATTAGAAATTTTTTTTATACAACATATTTAGACAAGTGTAATAAATTAAAAAAATAATCAGGTTTGGGTATTTAAGGGTAATCAGAAATATTTTTCAAATACATAAAATAAAATTTTTTTTATTTTTTTTTTAATTTTTTTTTAATTTTTTTTTAATTTTTTTAAATTTTTTAATCTTAACTATTCCTTCATATCTTTATTTTTTCATTAAATTATAGATACTCCTTTATTAACAATGAATAGAGATTTATATGAATGGGACCATCGCGAAGTGTGCAATTGGTTAGATGAAACAGGGAAATTTACACCAGAAACTATCAAAACTTTTGATTTTCACCAAATAAGAGGGGAACATTTGGAAGAACTATTTAATTTTAAACCATTTTTACTAAAAATGGGAATTAGTATGAATAATTGTTTATCATTTATTGTAGAGTATAAAAAACTAAAATCAAATGAAGGAGCTATCAAAAAAAACAATGTTACTCAAAATTCTGATTATGATGCCGTAAAAACAAGTAATTACTTGACCAATAATAGTTTTGACTTATCGAAGCCAAATTTTTCCATTATGTACAAATTGATCATTAATAGTAATAAAGAAATTGGAAAAGATATTAAAAAAAAATTAAAAAGTTCTAAAATCGAAGATACCCAAATTTTGGAAAATAATGTATTAAATCAACTTAAAGAAAAATGGGATATTGGAAAATTGAATATGTCAAATCTTATCTTTGTTTATGAAACTAAAGACTTTTCGTTATTAGAATTAGATACAATAGGTAAAAGATTAAATTTTCAATATGAAATGTCAATTCTTTTAAGAAATCTTCACCCATCATCAATGGTATCTTATCTATTAGAAGACCCAAATTTTTTAGAAAAGAATGTTGTACAAGTTATTGATGCA